GACTGCGGCGTTGCCCAACAAGAAGAGGCCCGTCCGAAACTTCTAGGCCGTGCCTAATGCAGCCCCAACTGCTAAATTGCTTTCAAACAAGCAGAACATCGATGACGTGGTGCACGTGACAGTCACATGTTTTGTATCTTTGCTGCGCCCGCCGCGTACCTCTCCTCCGTGCCTGCCCTCACCTTCTTTTCCGCTGGGTAGCTTGGCACCGGCTGCCACGCGTTTGCTTGGCAGATTGGGGAAACGTGTCAACAACATCGGAAATTTCAACAACATTCTGGCAGGTATTTTTCAAAATACACCTTTTATAAGACAGACCGCAGTGAAATTGGGAACGCGAATTTAGAGTTTATCTTTGCATAAGGTAGTATGAGTTATGCATGGACACGACAGTATTTGCTACGTCTAGTACTTGGAGATTAGCGTTTGGACCCATGCGCATGGTGAGCCTTTAACGGTCACTGGAATATAGGCTGCGACTTCAGAAAGTTCTAGGCGCCTGGTGTCAGAAATAAAAATCTTAATCTTAATCAGATTTTTATCAGAGTCTTAATATTAACTTTATCTCATAGAGCGATGAAAGAGGCATCGTAAAGTTACTGAGGCTCTGAGTGAGTTTCTGATGAGCGGGTGTATAGAGAAAAAGTTTAAGAGAAAAAGTGAATGTTAGACTTATGTTAAGACTAATATTGTTTCTGACAACAGGCCCCCTGAAATTTTCATGTGAACCTATATCTAGCGTACATGCAGCGGTTTGCTTCAACAAATACTGTTGTATGTATCAAGGAAGCGGAGGGACCCGTCCCGGCCCTATCACTGCTAAGAGAAAACAGATCTTGTAACTTCCAAACCGAATCAGATCAAATAATAGTGGGCCTAGAGGTTTTCTACGAGTGATGCAATTCAAGACACAACACCTTTAATATATCCTGCTTTACATTATTAAATTAATACTACAATAATTGACGGGTGATGATTAATTAATGTGTAATGTGAGTGCGCGTTCGCTCGCTCTATAGACGAGTGTGAGATTTAAGGAGAAAGAACATAATTTCTCGCCGTAGAGCAAAACAAAACCGGCGAAAAACTTGTACATGTATTTGCGAAAGTCAGAAGTCAAACGCAACGCCCCACGCCCACCCCGACTTGTCGAAGTGAAAAACTTGTCTAAATAGTTGTGTCCAAACTCTTAGAATAGTTGTAGCTCACTCCTCCTCTCAACCACATGTGCGCCACCACAGTTGTAACTACGTGCCAGATTCAAGGCCCTATCGACGGCAAAAACACCACGGAGAAAAATTCCCAAAGTAAATACAGTGTGCATTATAATCTAAGTAAGTTCTAGTATTCTACTCTTCTATTCTCCCCTTGTTTGGTTGCCATCTAAGTGAGCAGGCACCACACACTATCCGACGAAAATCCACACGTGATGTGTGCGCTCTCCGCCGGTCGTATGGGCTGTCGTGTGTGTTCTCCCTCTTCCTGCTGTGTGTGTGTGTTGGGTGTGTGTGTGTTGTTGTGTGTGCTAGTGTGCCTGTGCGTGCATTTGCGCCGTGTAGCCTGCGCTCGTCTCCCCACTCCACCCTCTCCCTCTCCCCTCCCCCTCTTTTCCTACGTCGTTGCCCTCTCTCAGCTCCTCCATCTTCGTTCGCCCTTCCCCCACGCCCCCCCCTCTTTCCTCTTGCCCCCTCCCCTCGTCCTTCCGCTCTCTCGCTACTTTCCCTTCCCCCCCCTACCCCTCTATCATCCTTCTCCTGCCAACCCCTTCCTCTCGTCCTTCTTCCTCTTTTTCCGCCTCAGCTGTCTCCCTGCACTTTCTCTTTCCATCCCCCCGTCGGCATCCCCTCTTTTCTCTTCCCTCTTCTTCCTGCTTGCCTTCCCTCGCCCTCCTGCAGACCCTTTTTTTGTTTTCCCTTTCCCCCCTTTCTCGCTGTTCCCTGATGTCCTTCCCTCTCCGTCGCGTGCTCGCGGTGGTGCTCGGCCTCCTTCTTCGCAGCTACGGCTGTGGTAGTGCTTCTGTGTTGTGCTTGTGGGCGGTCTGTGTGTGTTGTGTGGCGTGTCCTCTTGTGTGTGTGTCGGTGTGTGTGATGCGTGTGGACGTGTTGCTGTTGCTGTTGTGTGTGTGTGGACCCTGTGTGCTGTGTGTGTGTCTTACCGCGGTTGGGACCACTCTTGTGTGTGATTCCCTATAGCTTCGCTCGCGTGCTTGTGTGTGTGTGGTGTGTGTTCGTGCTGCCCCGGTTCTGTGTGTGTGTGTTGATTGATGAGAAGAGAGAAGACACTCTCAGTGATTGTCTGTGCTAGTGGGGTGCGCTGGGGGGGTGGGGCGGGGCGAGGGGTGGCGGTAGGGTGGGTCCCTACCCCAATTCGGGGGGGAGGTGCGCCCGGTCCTTTTCCATCGTGACCGGGGGGGTGTGTGTGTGTGTGGGCTGTTCTGTCTGTGTGTGTGCGTGTGTAAGTGGGATGTGTCGCACGTGCGTAGTTGCAGTTGTGCTGGTGTCCGTGGCCTGTGCGTCGTCTGCACGTGCAACGTGGGGCGTGCTGCACGTGCGTTGTGCGACTGTGCGTGTGCGTGTGCGTGTGCGTGTGGCGCCCGTGGTGGCTCTGTGTGTTGCTGTGTGTTTGGCGTGTGCGTTGTGTGTGCTGTGTGTGTGTCTGGTGTGTTGCTGTGGTGTCTGCTGTCTTATCTGTCTGTCTCTCTGTGTGTGCGTGTGCGTCTGCGTTGTGCCTTTGTGCCGCTGTGTGCTGTGTGTGTGATAGTGTGTGGTGGTGCTGTTGTGATGTATGTGTTGTGTGCTGTGGTGTGCTGGTGTGTGTGTGGCGCGCTGTGCGTGCGTTGTGATGTGGTGTGCCGTGTGCGTGTGCCGTGTCTTGGGTATGTATGTGTGTGTTGTGTGTGTGTGGCTGTGTTGTGTGTGTGTGTGTGTAATTGCGTGTGCCGCGTGTGTGTGTGTGCTGTGTGTGTGTCTGTATGTGTCGTCGTGTGTGTGTGTAGTTGTGCTGCTGTGTGTGATTGGTGTTGTGTGTGTGGTGTGTGTGTTGTGTGTGTGAGAGAGATAGCGAGGAGGATTTTCCGTGTGGTGGTAGTCCTGTCTGTGTCGTGCCTTTGTGCTCGCGGCCCGCGCCGGGCGTGTAAGTGATGGCGCTGGTGTTGTCGCACGTGGCGCATCCGCTTGTGCGTGTGGCGTGCGCCGTGTGCGTTGCGTGTGCACGTGCGTCGTGGTGTGCGTGTGGTGTCGCCGTGTGGTGTGGCGTGTGCCGTGGGGCGTACGTGCGTGTGGTGTGTGTGTTGTGTGCGTGTGCGTCGTGGCTGTGTGTGTGTTGCACCGCTGAATGTGGCTGTGGGATGTGGGCTGTGCTCTGTGTCTGTCTGTTTCTTTTTTTTTTTTTTGTTTTTTTTTCTCTCGTCGTCTCTGGTGTGTGCGATCCGCGTGTGCGTCCTGCGGTGTGCTTGTGCCGTGTGTGAGTGGTGTCTGTGATGTGTGTGTGTGTCGTGTGTTGTAGCGGCTTTGTGTGCGTGTGTTGTGTGTATGTGTGTGTGTGTGTGCACTGTGTTGTGTGTTGTGTGTGTTGTGTTGTGTTGCGTCGCGTGCGTGCGTGATGTGTCGTGTGGGGGTGCCGGGGTTGTGTGTGACATAAACAGCGTTGCTTGTGGTGGTGGTATCCATGATACGGTACCTTCTCGGTGGAGACAGGCTCCTACGCAACAACCTCTAGCTGTTCGCGTGCAAATATACAAGCAACTTAGATCCACGAATAAAAATAGTCCTTCACAATTTCCCCCTCTCGCATCTCTAATTCATCTCTCCGCACGCTCTCTCTTGCTCTCTCGCTCTACTGCTCTCTCTCTCTCTTCTCCCTCTCTCTCTCTTCTGCTCGCTCTCCTCTCTCTCTCTGCTCTCCTTCTCTCTCTCTCTCTCTCTCGCTGTGGCTCTCTCTCTCTCCGCCTCTCCTCTCGTCTCTCTGCCCTGTTATCCTCTCGTCTTTCTGGCCTCTGTGTGTGCGTGAAGTGTGTGCTGTTGTGTGTGTGTGCCTGTGTCTCTCTCTTCTCATCTCTCTCTCTCTCTCTCCTCCCGCTCTCTCTCTCTCTTTTCTCCCTCTGTGTGTGTGCTGTGTTTTCTCTCTCTTCTTCTCTCGCTCTCGCCTCGTCTCTTTCCGCTCTTCGCTCTCTCTCTCTCTCTCTCTCTCATCTCGGTCTCTCTCTCTCTCTCTCTCTCGGACTCCATCGTTTCTCTCTCTGGACTCTCTCGTCTCTCTCTCTCTCTCTGTGTCTCTCTCTGTCGCTCTTCTCTCTCTCTCTCTCTCTTTCTCTCGCCTCTCTATTTGCGTCATCTACGGCTTCTTAGTTTCTATCAGATAGACGGGACACCTTCCTTCTGCTCGTTTTCTGGAGTAGCTTGAAACAATATGTGAGCAGCGGAGGCCGAGTGAATTGTGCAAAGATCCCAATTCATAGAGCAAAAAGCCAACAGACTAGCGTTTTAGCCAGATGCAGCAGTATACATCTAATAACAGGAGTAAGATGTAATATGGGCGGTTCCCTATTATTATCTTACTCCTGCATAATAATATATATTAATAATTTAATAACAACCAATAATAATGAATAACAATAATAATATAATAATAATAATCAATAACTTAATAATAATAATCTAATTTAAATAAAATCACCAATCTAATATTAATGATACTTGGAGTCGGAGTCATATGACACAAGAAGCGGACGGATGGAACGGACGGACGGCGGGCGGGACGCGACGGAGGCCAGCCAGCCAGACAGACAGACAAGACAGGGGCAGGAGCAGACGGGGACGAGCAGGGCGAGACAGGACACACGAGGCAACAGACGAGAGCGAGGAACACACACACACACACACACACACACACAGCTACCCCCACGCACAGGCACGCACGCATGCACGCACGCACGCACGCGCGCGCGCACACACACACGTACTTACTTGCGACCATGATGGTCTTGGCGTTGCCTCCCAGACTGTCCTTCAGCAACCACGTCAGCACCGACCCACGGTAAGGAATGAACGGCTGACTGCCGCTACTACTGCTGCTGCCCCCTGCCGGCTTGCGCGGACTAGACGCCACGCTGCTAGAGTCACTCACAGTCGACGCGTCGCCCACTGTCGCCGCTGCTGAGGGTTCCGCGGGTCTGTTGGCGATCCGCGACCGCTCAGCTGGAACATAGACGGCGCCACCGGTCAGCGTCGGTCGCCAGGGGGCGTCGGTGCGGGGAGGGAGACGGGAGACGACGACGATTGCGAGGGAGGAATGGGGAAGATTCCAGGCGGAGCCGGAGAGGAACAGGGGGTAGTGATTATTTAGGGGCGAGTCAGCAACAATATCTCACTACCAGCTACTCCCTCTTGTCAATCTCTGTTGACCCATCCGACTATCACGCGTTCCGCAATCTCCAGCAACCAGCAAGCCTCTCTCTCACAGGGTCACTCAACCAACATTGCTTCATGCGTCTCTTCCTCTCTCGTAGGTTGCCCTCTACCAAGACTCCCTCAACTACCTTCCCTTCCTCTCTCAAGAGGTCCCTCTACCTTAAGCCTCTCTCCGTCTCTTGAATGGTTCCTCTACCAAGTCTTTCCCAATCTCCCTCTCACCCTCTCACACTCGGTCTCCCTGCCAACTTTTCATCATACTTCCCTCTAACTTTCTCTCAATGGGTCTCCCAACCACAAGCTACCAGTAACCTCCTTCCCACCCTCTGTCGCTCTCTACCAAATATCCTTCATGCGTCCGCCCCCTCTCTCTCTCTCTCCCCTCGCTCACCCTCTCTCAAGGCAGCCCTCTACCGCAGCTATCATTCAAGCGTCCGACCCCCACCTCATCCATCTATCCCGCACAATAATAATGCTTCCATCCGCGTACATTCGTAGTTTATTTTTACAGGACTTGCTAGAGAAAACTCGAGCTGCTAGTGGAAACTAAGGCACGCCAGTAAGACTCACAAACATACATTGCTATGTGCTATAGTGACTCGCTACATTTCATGCTAATGCAAGTAATTAAGTGAATCTAACACTGTGTAAACATTTATCTAGGACGGATGGGAGGTAGGAGGAGAGGACACCCTCTCCCACCCACACCCCTCATCCACCCTGCCCCGACCGACCTTCCCCCGCCCTACGGCACCCACACCGCACCCATCAGCGTACAGTAATGTTACAATGCCTCCGGCTATGGAATCAGTGCCGCAATATGGTGACCATTAATAATTCATCACCACCAGTGTCACCTGCGCTGTAAAACATTGTACGCGTATACCTGCTGCTGCTGCTGCTGCTGCCGCCACTGTTACTACACACTGTTTTTGGCGTGATTTTGCGGTGAGGTGACTGCCTATAAGAAACCAACATTTTTCTTCACAGAGATTCATGTTGTTTTCTATAGCTGCTTCTATGTATTATTGAGCCTGTATTTAATGCTTCTGTTTCTGCCTCAGGTTTCTGTCTCAGCTTTCTGCCTCGGATTTCTGTCTCCGCTTTCTGCCTCGGGTTTCTGTCTCAGCTTTCTGCCTCGGGGTTCTGCCTCGGGTTTCTGCCTCGGGTTTCTGCCTCAGCTTTCTGCCTCCGATTTTTGCCTCAGGTTTCTGCCTCAGGTTTCTGCCTCGGATTTCTGTCTCAGGTTTCTGCCTCAGCTTTCTGCCTCGGGTTTCTGCCTCGGATTTCAGTCTCAGGTTTCTGCCTCAGCTTTCTGCCTCAGCTTTCTGTCTCAGGTTTCTGCCTCAGGTTTCTGCCTCGGGTTTCTGTCTCAGCTTTCTGCCTCGGGGTTCTGCCTCGGGTTTCTGCCTCGGGTTTCTGCCTCAGGTTTCTGCCTCAGCTTTCTGCCTCAGCTTTCTGTCTCAGGTTTCTGCCTCATATTTCTGCCTCGGGTTTCTGCCTCAGCTTTCTGCCTCAGCTTTGTGCCTCAGGTTTCTGCCCCGGATTTCTGCCTCGGCATTATGTATTTAATCAATAAATTTCTATGAGAAATGTATACCGAGAACTGAAAAAGTTGTCCGAGTACTTTCTGTGAACTAGTGAAGATTTTTCCATCGTAGGCGGAGTATTTTCCCATAACAGGAGTGCATTGTAACGCGGCAAGCGCCTATCTTATAAATCTTACATTCTAATGTAGGATTTTATGGAGCTGTAGCTTAGTACGGGTTGTTGTGCAATATCACCCACTCCTATTATTTATTTATCGTTGACAACCCGCTCGTTGATTGTCTTCAGGCGCTGGTCGAACCATAAAAAGCATCTGCTAACTACACACAAGCAAGTACGCATGTACACAGGTACACATGTACAGACACATGTAAGTAATCACCTCGCATGTACATTGTACATGTATACATGTAACAATCACATAGTACACGTCACAGTACACGAGTCACGGTCCACGCGTGATACACACGTGATCTCTCACATCTGACCTCCTGCGCATGTGACATCACACGTGACCTCTTACCCCGCGTGACAACACACGTGACCTCTTACCCCGCGTGACAACACAGGTGACCTCTTACCCCGCGTGACACCACAGGCTCTTACCCCGCGTGACACCACACGTGACACCACACGTGACTACTCACACATGACTCATCACACGTGACCCCCTGACACAGGTGTCAGTGTAACGTTCACTCACACCGCGGCACGTGACGCGCACGTGCTGAGCGAAAAAGAATTACATAAATTTTTTATCGGGCAGCAATAAAAAACTGCATATTGATGAGCGAGTAACGTTGAACAATGCTGACGGTACAATCACTATCACATGCCGGTCATATACTACAGAGCTATAGCTGCGCACGAACCATCGCCCTGACCACGTGGTCACTACACGGGTAGAGGTCACGGATTCACGGCAATATAGGCTAGTGTGGCTCATAGGGTCTATGTCCCCCAGGGTACTGCCGGAACGTACCCTGGGTACGGTCCGGTGTACCGGAACGTACCCTGGTAACTATCTGATATGGTTAGGGTTAGGGTTAGGGTTAGGGTTAGGGAGTAGGCGTAGGCGACTCTATAGACTCGTTAGTGGAGTAGGCGAGGTACAGTCCGGCATATTAGATCGTACCAGGGTACGTTCCGGCAGTACCCAGGGAGACATAGACCCTCTCAGCGCTAGTGTGATGTATCACATATAACGTAGACATAATCTATACTATAAAGGAGAAGGGACGATTTTTTGTTAACTATGTTCTCTGAATCTGCTCGCATGATTTGAAATTGCTTGACTGTAAACGATGCATTACTACTCGTAGAGTAATATTGGCGCACTTTTGCAATGACGAAAACAGGATAAAGTTGAATTTGAAACCGTTTTATTTAACACTGGCTAAAAATAGCATACCGGTGTATCGACGTACCGGTGTATAATATAAAAGGGAAGGGACGATTTTTTGTTAGCTATGTTCTCTGAATCTGCTCGCATGATTTGAAATTGCTTGACTGTAAACGATGCATTACTACTCGTAGAGTAATATTGGCGCACGTTTGCAATGATGAAAACAGGATAAAGTTGAATTTTAAGCCGTTTTATTTAACACTGGCTAAAAATAGCATACCGGTGTATCGACGTGACTACCATTAATCAATGCAGTACGTGTTGTGGCCAGTTTGCGCTGTGGCGCAGTGGTAGCATGCTTGCGTAATACGTTAGGTGCCGGGAGTTCGAAACTCGACAGCCGCGGAAATTAAACAAGTGCCGCAGAGCGACAGCGCTCACCTGACGGCAGGTGTTCTGCTGACTAAAATTGGTGGCGCGGATGCAACGAATTTTCAGTCCCTCCATTCGCTTCTCTATTCTTATCGCCGTATTCGTCTCTCCCTCGTAAGTTTCATTCTTTCTTCTTATTCGCTCTCTTCGTCTTCCTATCTCTTACCCTTTCACGCGCTCTGCTCATCTCCCTCTCTCTTCTCGTGTCTGATCAGACTCTTCGTCGATCTAACACACACACACACTCATCTCTCTCTCTCTCTCTCTCTCTCTTCTACTTCCTTCTCTCTCTCTCTCTTCTCTCTCTCTCGTCTCTTCTATTGCTCTCTCTTCCTTCACGCTTCTCTCTCCCTCTCTCTTCGCTCGCTCACTCTCCATCGTTGTCTCTCTCTTCTTATTTGTCTTTGTCTTTCTCTCTCTTTTTCTCTCCCTCTCTCTCATCTCTCTCTATATCTCTCTCTGCTTTTTGCTCTATCAACTCTTTCGCGCGCTCTTCTCTTTCTCTCTCTCTCTTCTTTCTCGCTCTCTCTCTCGCCTCTCTTCCTCTCTCTCTCTTCCTCTCTCTCTCTCTCTCTCTCTCTCTCTCCTCTCTCTTCTCACTATCATCTCTCTCTCTTCTCTCTCTCTCTACTGCTCTCTCTGCTCTCTCTTCTTCGTTTCCTTCTCTCTCGCCGCTCTCTCTCTCTTCACTCTCTTGCCCTTCGTCTCTCTTTCCCTCTCTCTCCAATTTCTCTCTTTCTCGAGCGGTTAAGCGCTGTCACGGACGAGGCTGTACGCTGATTGTCTATACAGCACGATCTGATTGTCTATAGACTGATTGTCTGATGGTCTTCTATACCATAGCAAGACCTGTGTTCGTGGAGGCTAGCAAGGCAGGTAACGATTTTTTATATAACTTCACATAAATGTTTATACTATAGTATCTGTTAATTTTCGGGTGGCCACTCCGGCAAGCCCATGTTTTATATGTTTAAACTCGGGTTTCCAGCAACAGCGGCAGCGGATGGTAGATAAATTGCTCTAAAAGTCTGGTCCAGCAGACAAGCTACCTGACGATCTACTTTGTCCATTCGTGAAATGGTACGAGTACGAACAAAACGGATAGCCTTAATTCAACACTGGATGGTTCAGGAGGCCCTTCTCGAAGAAATGTTTCTGATTGGGAATCGTTAATAGAGATATAGAGAGATGGCGCGTACGTTGGTCATCTGGAAGCCTTCCATCGTACGTACTTACTACGTAGTATAAGTAACAACTATTGCAAGACGAATAGGTAAGCACTCGGTCCATTTACGCTAACAGCAGCCTACAGGCTGAAATAGTAGAGGCTGCCCTGTACCTAATTAACGCAGGCAAAAATACACCATACTATTTCACCACCACAGTTGATGGCAGTGAGCCACTGGCCCAGTGGCATTATTTTAAACATGACAGCTTACAGATGCCATAAGAATTATACGCATTTAACGGAGCATAACCCTCTCTTCAATGCAAACTTTAGCTTTTGAAATTGTAACACTGTGACCTTGTCCTAAGCGTCTTACATCAGGCTGTATAGATTTACTAGCAACCCAGCAGTCAAGATTCCTTTCTAAACCTAGCTAACAGTTAATCAATCCGATGTTTAATCCGCTCCTCTTTGAGCGGTCAAAGGTTATCGACACTTCTCTTCGCCAACAGTCAATGGAAAGCCACAATCATGGTCCTTTCAATATAAAGCCTATAAAATGCTGGTCACTCTGAAACACAGAAAGTGTTCAATCGCTCCGTCACACCATGTTCTCAGAAAATGCTCTAAATTTCTTGCCCTGTGTCCCATTGACCTTGTTGACTGTGTACTCCAATTTCGGCGGCATCCACTTCTTGTACACTCTTGCCTTTGACCTTTGACCCCCAGCCTTCGACATCCAACTTCGTTTTTGGATTTACCCCCCCCCCCACGTCCCGAAATTTCGTGACCGTTAGTCGAGCGGTTAAGATTTGTGCCCAACTGTGAGACGGACGCTGGACGACGCTCGGGGCGACGGCCTCGGACGCGACGGAGACGGACGGTCCGGACGATCATGCGATTCCTACATGCTGCATTGCTATTGTCTGATGATGCTAAAAGTTATTTCGAAACAGCCGTGCGTTAACTTCTTTTCTTTATCCTAAGAATATATGCTATTGAACATGTATTTATTTAAAATCTATTACTATGAAGGAACAGCGAATTTTTATTGCCTAAGTTATTATGTCATAGACGTCGTTCATCCTACATGACCAGCAATCGGCAAACCGATATTCATACACGTCATCCACTCATCCTTCAACATCAGATCTTCCATTTGAATTTAAAAAGACTGCATTCCCTATCCGCCTTTGCCTATGCTATGACATAAACAAAGCCATGGACAGACTTTCACCTACCGATTAGGCCTTGGACCTCACCGCAGCTGTACTTCTCCATGGCTGGCTCTATGTGCCCTCGTCACGGAGTAGGCAAACCCACGGCGATGTTCATTTCACAACAGGACAGAAGACCAAAAACATGGTTTACGAGAAGCCCTTGATCCTTAGGGTGAGCACACATAATACAACTCATTCTGTGATTCCCACGTACTTTTGCTGATAATATTTATATATATAATATATATATCTATATATATATATACGCTGTGTGTGTGTGATGTTGTGTGTGTGTGTGTGTGTGTGTGTCACCAAGGGCAAGCTGTGTGTGTATGTGCTGTGCGTGTGTGTGTGTAGGGTTTGTGCATGTGTGTGTTGCATGTGTGTGCTGTGTGTGTGTTGTGCTGATGTGTGGTCGTGTGTGCTGGTGTGTGTCGTGTGTGGTTCTGTCCGTATAAGTATGCCTAGTAGAGGTCACCCGTAATAATTACAGGTACATGGTTATCTAGATACTGTTATATATATATTATTTATATAAATATATATGCGATTGGTGTCGCAGGTCATACGGTATGTCACATGATAGAACACTGATAAACGCCAGGGCCGGCAGGCTGAGCATTTACTTGTGCGGGGGGAATTTTCATGGACTCAACTGTGCTATGATGTAGGGATACGCGCAGCTCTTGAATCGCGTCCATGGTCGTGGTAGGGGGGGTCAGAGACAAGGATTTCAGGTCAGCGACCAACATTATCCGTTAGCGGTTATTTACGATTATTAGCTAATGCCTATTTTTTAATTTTGCTTCTAAATCTAGAGGGGGTAGCTTGTTTCTTACTTCCCCCTCCCGGAGGACTACACGCTGCACGTCTCCACTGTCGTCTCTCCTCTCTCTCTCTTCTCACCCGCATTCAGTTACGCATCTAACACGCACGATGCCGCACACACACACACACCACACCACACAACACACACACACACACACCACGGCTAGCGCGCTTTGCGCGCGGCACACAAGAACACACCTACCCACAGACACACGCACACCCCACGCCACCACGCACGCACCGGCACGCAACACACGATACTCGCACGTATGGCACGCACGACGCACGCACGCACGCACGCACGCACGGCACACACCAACCCACACACCAGTTACCCCCGCACAGGCCGCACGCACACACGTCCGCACGCACTGCAGGCTCACGCTTTGCGACCACCAAGCGCTACTTACTTAGCGACCATGATAGGTCTTGGCGTGGACTCCCAGACTGTCCTTCCGCACACGTTCGCACCGACGGTAATGGAATAACGGCTGACTGCACCGGCTACTACTGCTGCCTGCCCTTGCCGGCTTGCGCGAGACTAGGACGCACGCTGCCTAGAGTCACTCACAGTCGACGCGTCGCCACTGCCGCCGCTGTGTAGGGTTTCCGGCGGGTTGTTGGCGATCGGACGCCTCAGATGCGAACATAGACGGCAGCGCGGTCGAGCGTCGGTCGCCAGGGGGCGTCGGTGCGGGAGGAGGGAGACGGGATACGGACGACGAGTAGCGAGGCGAGGAATGTGGAAAGATTCAGGCGGAAGCCGCGTAGGAACAGGGAGGTAGTATTATTTGGGCGATGACAGCAAACCATATTTCTCACTACCAGCTACTCCCTCTTGTCATCTCTGTTGGACCATCCGACTATTCTTTCGTTCGCAATCTCCAGACGCACGCTCTTCTCACAGGCCGTCACTCAACCAACATTGCTTATTGGTCTACTCCTCTCTCGTAGGTTGCCCTTACCAGACCTCCTCACTACCCTCCCTTCCTCTTCAGAGTCCTCTACCCTCGCCTCTCTCGTCTCTTGAAGTGGTTCTCCACAAGTCTTTCCCAATCTCTTCGCCTCTCAACTCGTCTCTCCTGCCATACGTTTCCATCATACTTTCCCTTAACTTTCGTCTCATAGGGTCTCGACTACACAAGCTCGTACTCCTTTCCCCTCGCATGTCGCTCTCTACCAATTTCAGTTCAGGGTCCGCCCCCCTCTCTCTCGTCCCTACGCTCACCTTCTCAGGCCAGCCCTTACCGCAACTATCAATTCAGCGTCCGCCAACCCCACTCATCCAAATCTATCCGCACAATAATAATGCCTTTCCATCCATCGTACATTCGTAGGATTTATTTTTTACAGGACCGTGCTAGCAGAAACTCGAGCTGGCCAGCTGGAACTAAGGCCGCCAGTAGATTCACAAACATACATTGCTATGTGCCTACATGCTGACTCGCCTTACTTTCATGGCTAATTGCAAGATAATTAGTGAATCTAACACTGTGCTAACATTTATTGGACGGAATGGAAAGTAGGTTCCGGCAGGAGAGGAGGAGAGAAGAGGAGGAGGTAGGGAGCGGAAGAGAGGGAGGGTAGAGGGAGGAGGGGAGCCGGGCCTCCGCAGGGAGCTGGAGGGAGGAGGGGAGGCAAGGCAGATGGGAGGCGAGAGGAGAGCGAGGAGGGATGGGGAGGAGGAGAGGGGGGAGGGAGGGGGAGGGAGGGAGGAGAGGGCGGGAGGGAGGTAGGGGAGGGAGGCGAGGGAGGGAGTGAGTGGAAAAGAGGCGAGCGGATAGGGAAGGAATAGGAGGAGAAGGAGGGAGCGAGGCAGAGGAAGAGAGGCGAGAGAGGAGGCTGAGAAAAGGGAGAAAGAGAGCGGAGAGAGGGAGAGAGATAAGAGGGAGAGAGGGGGATGGAGGGAGGAGGGGGGAGACGAGGGGCGAGGGAGCGAGGGGCGGGAGAGAGGGAGGGAAACGTCACCATGATAAACACACGCCGCCGCAGCTACTGCAGCTAGGAAAGAATGCACGGAGAGAGAAAAACATGCAAGAATCAAAACATATCGATTATCCTTGTCCAAAACAGCGGTACGCCGTGGCCCTGTAATCACAGACTGCACTGTATCTTATGTTAGATCCCTTCATTGACACACGCATACACATATATCTGATGTTCCCGTTATTATAAGCTTACAGCTTTAAGAACATATACACAACTACAGAATTATGAACCTGTACCTCTATAATATATATATCCGTGTTGATGGCCGGAACCCACTCGATCACGCCAATCACGCGATATCACTCCACGTCGCGCTTATGGCATATATACGAATATCAGATTTCGTATGATATAGATACTCGATATAAGATACTCAATATATGGGCGGGGGGGGGGGGGGGGGGGGGGGCGGGGGGCGGAGCGGGGGGGCGGCTTATAGATATAGTATAGACTATCGCACTTGTATAGGAGCGCTCACGTTGATGACAATATACGTCTATTGTATTTCATTATATATTATATATAATATATATAATTAAGGCAGTACACCACCTACCTAGTGCGGATATCACATTTCCCAGCATGACTAGAGATTTGTTGATGTTAGCACCTTCTTTCAACCGATTCCGGGAGTAATTCGGATCAGCTCTCTCACTGAAACACAGGAACGTTCCGTACAGCCGGTGATGACGTCATCACACGCTCCGACGGTCATGATCAAACGGAAGAACGAACAAACGAACAAACGAACAACAGAACGTTCATTTGGCATCGAACCAACATTTGCTCTACTGCCGTACGTTACCGAGTACTACGTCACACATTACTACGTCATACCTCATTACGTCATTAATTACTACGTCGCGCATCAACACGTCATACCTCATTACGTCATTAATTACTACGTCGCGCATCAACACGTCATACACTTCTACGTCACACAATTCCACGCCATACACTTCTGCGTCACACATTACTACGTCACACATTACTACGTCACACAATTCCACGTCATACACTTCTACGTCACACATTACAACGTCACACATTATTTCGTCATACAATATTACGTCACTAAATAACCACTCGGCTCACGGCATTATATCCGGCATCACATCCGGCGGATGTTATCAGTCTATCGCTACACTATCCCGCCACACACGCATCCGCTTTCTAGCCGCACACACACACACACCCGCGTACACGCGTTACATTACAGTGACAAATAGAAGAAGCGTGAGTGAGCGAGAGAGAGAAGGAGAAACAAATGTGGGGCAGAATGCCACGCATCTGTTACGAAATCTGTTAAATTGATGGATTTTCGGCGGTCACGTGATGTTGTGGTCGCGGGACAGATCTGATGGTTTCTCGGGGAAAATGAACGATGAGCAATTAATCTATTTAATTAGAATATTAGAGGGAAGCAGCGAGGAGCGGCGGTGAGACTGATGGAGGAAGATAATGATGCGTGGAGCGTCTGCCCGCGACGGCAGCGCCACCGCCGCCAGGGACGGAGAATGCGACACGGTGAAAAGAATGAGAAGAAAAGTGGCTAGTGACCGCTCATTACTGTTATTGTTATTTGTTATTATTGTTGTTGTTATTGTTATTACTGTTATTATTATTATTAATATTATTTCCAAAGTAGATCACGGCATGAGCCGGTGGCTTCTGGGTTGACCGTGCCCCTAGCTGGGACATAGGGATTCAATCCAGAACTTTTTGCAGGATGTGTGCTGTTCCCAGTAGTGCGATTTTCTGCACTTCTTGGGCAGTGTGGTTCTTCTCAAAACCATTCTTTATAGAGCCAAGGGCTCCAACCACCACTGGCACAATTCTCGTCTTAGTATTCCACATCCTCCTAATTTCGATCTCTATTCCACATCCTCATAATTTCGATCTCTATTCCACATCCTCATAATTTCGATCTCTTATTATTACTATTATTATTATTATTATGTTATTGTTATTTTATTATATTATTATTATTATTATTATTATTATTATTATCATCATCATCATCATCATTATTGAATAGTGGCGTATGTTTTTAGGCTCACGCACCCGAACCTTACCCTTGACAAACCTTTCAAAAATCCGTAAATTCCAACATTAAATCACGTGTTAAACGTTAATGACGTTTTTAGAACGTCATCTCGCAATGATGATTGGCTGGAACTGGGACCTCTCAGTAACGTTGGGTGGAGGGGGGATGGGGTCTTAGGTATTGTTAAACTAGTTTTTGTTTCTTACGCGCGGCGTATAAAATTATCTAACGATCGATGTTCCCCTCCTCGCTCCTCCTCCTCTTCTTTCCTCCTCTTCCACCTGTTACTGCCTGCTCCTCCTCTCAATCCTCCTCCTAACCCTCCTCTTCCTCCTCCTGCTCCTCCCGCTGCTGCTGCTCTGTCTCCTTTTGCCCCTCTCCTACTTCTCTCCCTTTCCTTCCTCCTCATTCTTTTCTTTCTCCTGTCCTGCTGCTTCTCCTCCTCCTTCTCCTCTTCCTTCTCCTTCCATTTTTTACGCGTGCACTCGGACCTACAATCTGGGAACCTCTCTCTCGCTCTCCCTCCTTTTATCCCTCCGTCTCTTGCCTCTCCCCCCCCCTCTCTCCCTCTCCCCCTCTCCCCGCTTCTCCTCCCCCTCCTATACGTACCTACGCCCTCTCTCTCTCTCTACCTATCTACGCCCCCGACACTATCGCTGCATCGCCACCAACAGACAGCGCTCGATTATTAATGCGACGATTACGTAATTAATTGCATCTTCTGCTCATTAACTGATTGTTTCTACGCGTAATTCGTGGGTAGGCGATGGCGGGTGAGCGTGCGATGATGGTGGGGTGGTGGGGTGTTGGAGGGAATCACTGATGGGAGCTAGGCGTTAATTTAGACTGCCCCTGCGTCTCCTCGGGAAGAGGTAACCAGTCTAACATTCTCTGTCTAAGAAGAGGTAACCAGTCTAACATTCTCTGTCTAAGAAGAAGTAACCAGTCTAACATTCTCTGTCTAAGAAGAAGTAACCAGTCTAACATTCTCTGTCTAAGAAGAAGTAACCAGTCTAACATTCTCTGTCTTTACCGAGAATTAAGATAGAAAACCCAGTATAACCTTTTAAAAGTGATTACGTCACGAATTTCTAGCACCATCAAGTAGTACATTTGTGTGTTATTTGTACAAAATAAAATGTATGAAAATACAATTAGTGTTTCTGTTTACTTTTCATGCTTATATACCATCTTTATATGCCCTAATTTGCCGGTGAAAAACAGAGAGACGCCAATATCTGAACAGTACTGGGGGAATAGTGTTAGACAACAGAAATTACCAAATCGTCTAGATTTTTGCAAATTTAACCAACGTAAAAACATTTTTATCAGGTGAGAGTTTGAGGATATATTTAGTAACGTTAGTTCTTACTTTTAATGTAAAAAAATGGCAATTTTTTTTTTAGAAATTTTACCATAGAAAATTCGTGACGTAGTCCCTTTAACCGGTAACTAATCTAATTTCCCGAGTCTTTGCCCGTGAGTTCAAAAGAGGTAATTATAACTTACTTCCTGTCATCATTGTAAGATGAGAAGAGGTAGTCAGTCTAACTTTGTGTATCTTTACTGTAAGTTAAGGAACAGATAGCAGTCTAAGTTTCTTCTGCCTTTGCCGTAAGTTAAGGAGCAGCAGAGGCGGATCTAGGATTTTTGAAAAGGGGGTGTCCAGGAAGAAATAAAGGGCACTTTTTCCTGCTTACTTTTTCTGGTGTTTTAAAAAGCTGCCGAAGGCCAAATTTTTTTTTAAATTGGTGCATTCTGAGAGCATCTGAGCAGTAATTTTGATGTCTAGAATGCAAAAATTTCAGCATCAGATCCGGTCCCCCGTACCCCTGCGAACCCTTCTTTGCCCATTTCTAGGTTTTTATAACGAATTTACATATATATAAGCAAATCTTTATCAGAAAAACTAGCGCTAAACAAGATTTTTTTATGGAGACAATATAAGAGAAGTGCATGTGTGTGTATGTGTGTGTGTGTGTGTGTGTGTGTGTGTGTGTGTGTGTGTGTGTGTGTGTGTGTGTGCGCGCATGCGTGCGTGCGTGTGTGTATGCTTTTTTCCCGTTTTGTTGTTGTAAAAAGGGGGGGTCCGGACCCCCTCGACCCCCCCTCTGGATCCGCCCCTGAGCAGATAGCAGTAAGTTGTTTCTCTGTCTTTGCCGTTAGTTAAGGAGCATATAGCAGTCTAAGTTTCTCTGTCTTTGCCGTAAGTTAAGAAGCATATAGCAGTCTAAGTTTCCGTAAGTTAAGGAGCATATAGCAGTCTAAGTTTCTCTGTCTTTGCCGTAAGTTAAGGAGCATATAGCAGTCTACGTTTCTCTGTCTTTGCCGTCAGTTAAGGAGCAGTTAGCAGTCTATGAGATGGTGAGGGGCTCGCATCTCTGGGCCATCATTTATTCATGACCACCACAGTGGCGAGCTGTTTTATTGTTTTAGGGTCGGGGCCGTGCACGGGTGCCTAGGGAGACAGATAAACAGCTCCCCCTGCGCCCCCTGTCGGCGGAAGTATGGAGAGCCGTATACCCTCGGGGCGATGGTAAGAGAGAAGATGTGGGAAAGAGAAAGAGAGGGGGCGAAGGTAGAGAAAGAGAGAGAGAGAGAGAGGGAGAGAGAGAGGAAAAGAAAGGGCGAGAGAGAGAGAGAGAGAGGAAAAGAAAGGGCGAGAGAGAGAGAGAGAGAGGAAAAGAAAGGGCGAGAGAGAGAGCGAGTGAGCAAGCGAGGGAGACGCGAGAGAGAATAGAGAGAGGTGGAGGTGGTATCGATCATTATCACTCTTGTTTACTACTACTGCTGCTGCTGCTGCTGCTGCTGCTGCTGCTGCTGCTGCTGCTGCTCAGGCACGCACGAGTTCACTCTAATTCATTAGGACCGGCAAACTGATGCTGATGCTGCTGTTGCTGCTGCTGCTGCTGATGATGATGATGGTGATAATGACTACGATGATAATGACGACGACGACGACGATGACGATGATAACGACGCCGATGATGACGATGACGATGATGATGCTGCTGATCATAATGATCGGGTGTTGGTGAGTGGAGGAGGTGTGTGTGCATGCGCGTGCTGTATGCGTGCGCGCGCGTTTGTGTATGTGCGCGCGCGCGTGTGTGTGTGCGCGTGCTGTGTGCGTGCGCGCGCGTGTGTGTGTTTGCGCGCGCGTGTGTGTTTGCGTGTATTCATACATATCAGTTGTTGTTTACCAATCACGTGATTAAAATCTTTCTCTCGCGGGTCGGCCAATGAAAAATTCATTTGTTTTTCACGGTAGAAGAAACATTATAGCAGTACTGTCTACTTCCATCCCCCCTCTCCTCCCCTGACTCCTCTCCTCGCTCCTGCTGCCTCATCCCCTCTCTCTCTCCTTCCCCCATTCACCTCCATCCGCCCTCTCCTCTCCTTGTCTCATCCCCTCGCTCCTGCTGCCTCATCCCCTCTCTCCCTCCTCCCCCACTCCTCCCTCTTCCTATCGCTCCCTACATCCTCCTCTCCTCTACCCCTCCTCTCTCCTTCCTGCTTCCACCGCTCTCTGCTCCCCATATCTCATTCACCCCCTTCTCGATCTTCTTCCGCCCCTCCTCTCTTTCCATCTGCCCCCTCCCTTCTCCCTCCCTTCTTGCATTCTCTTTTCCGCCTCTCTCCTCCTCCTCCTCCTCTCCCTTCTCTGCTCTCCCTCTCTCCCCCTTCACCTCCTCTCCTCTCTCTGCTCCCCCTCTCTCCACAGCTCTTACCCTGGTCATTCAGCAGCGAGAATATTACTCCTAACTATGGGTAGTCCTTCTCTACGCGAGCTGTCTCAATAGTTTATTGTAATCGATTCCATCAATCAATACTTAAATCTTCGCGGCATCATAGTTCAGTGTGCGTGACCGCTATACGCCATCTTTAAAAGCCTAAGATTAATAGTATACTATAATATTGCGTACTACTCACTAAGTTTTTTACTTACTTTACTATGGCTTAATAGTTGATATTTGACTCTAATGTTTCAAGAGGGCTTGATGTTTTATGGGTTTATGTTTAGGGTGGGGGTGTTTTTTCCAGCCCGGGTGGGTGGTAGCGACCAAGGGGTGGGCCTCTATTTGATTCCTATAGCTAAGTAAAGGGGGCGGGTGTTTGAGTGGTCATATTAAGCTGTTAGTGCACGCACACATACAGAATCATAATGCATCATAATGCATCATAATACATCATAATGCATCATAATGCATCATAATGCATCATAATGCATCATAATGCATCATAATGCATCATAATGAATGATAATGCATCATAATGCAACAGATAGGCATCTGAATGCAGGAACTAATATACGGGCTCTAATTGTGATGGTTTCACAATACATCAGAAACATTACAATTACTTATTATTTAGTACATATGATTTACTTAACTTTTCGCATAATATTTTTGCACGACGACTTTACTTCAATAATTGTAACATTTTACGCCGATGATGATGATGTTACCATTCATAACACAGAACACTAAAAAACAGTGCAATGCCTAATATTATGATGATACATTTACACTATGTATGATAAAAGGTGGGCCCCTGCGCTGGTGTTTGAGGCGTGCTGGGCAGGTAAGAGATGGATGTGCAGGTATATAGGTTAAGACCAGGGCCAGGGTCAGTAACCCGTGCCGATCTATTATTCAAGAGTTATTCATCGTTTGTTACTACTGCCGATAGAAAAATGGGGGAAAAAATCGAGGAAAATTTTTTAAATGATTTTGTAAACGATTTTTTTTTAAATGAACATGTTTCGATCTCGTGAAAAAAAAACACAAGCGTGGTGAAAGTAGGTCGAGAGGTGAGCTGGACGCTGGAGTCAACGTTAGTTGTCACCTCTATAGAACGGACACCTCTATAGAACGGACACATCTATAGAACGACAACTCTATAGAACGCGACACATCTATAGAACGCGACACATCTCACAGACACAATACCTCTATAGCAACGGAACATCTAATAGAACGGCCACCTCTATAGAACGATCACCCTTATATAACGGACACCTCTATAGAACGAGCATCCCTATATAACGGACATCTCTATAGAACGGACACCTCTATAGAACAGACACCTCTACATAACGGACACCTCTATAGAACGATCACCCTTATATAACGGACACATCTATAGAACGAGCACCCCTATATAACGGACACCTATATAGAACGGCCACCTCTATAGAACGATCACCCTTATATAACGGACACCTCTATATAACGGACACCTCTATGTAACAGTCCCCTCTATATAACGGCTCCTCTATGTAACAGTCCCCTCTATATAACGGACACCTCTATAGAACGATCACCCTTATATAACGGACACATCTATAGAACGAGCACCCCTATATAACGGNTGGTCACCTCTATAGAACGAGCACCCATATATGACGGACACCTCTATAGAACGGACACCTCTATGGAACGAGCAAGCCCTATATAACGGACACCTCTATAAAACGGTCATCTGTCTATAATAAAGGTCCCTTTTAAGGACCACTTTTAAGCTTCCTTTGAGCAGAGGTTCGAAGCAGGTACAGAATAAAACCAGCTCTATACAATAGAGATCGGTTTATGAAACAAACGTTTGGGGTTTCCCTTTACTGACCCTTGTAAATAGCCTCTCTCTCGTTCTCTATCTCTCTTCCTTGTTCTCTTGCTCTCTCTCCCCTCAATCGCTACACAAACACACACATGCACGTTATGTATAAATAGTAAGTACATACTATGTAAATAGTATGTATATAGTGTGTATATAGTGTGTAAATAGTAAGTATATAGTATGTAAATAGTAAGTATATAGTATGTATATAGTGTGTAAATAGTATGTATATAGTNACACCTCTATATAACGGACACCTCTATATAACGGACACCTCTATATAACGGACACCTCTATATAACGGTCATCTGTCTATAATAAAGGACCCCTTTAAGGACCACTTTTAAGCTTCCTTTGAGTAGAGGTTCGAAGCAGGTACAGAAGAAAACCAGCTCTATACAATAGTGATCGGTTTATGAAACAAACGTTTGGGGTTTCCCTTTACTGACCCTTGTAAATAGCCTCTCTCTCGCTCTCTATCTCTCTTCCTCGTTCTCTTGCTCTCTCTCCCCTCAATCGCTACACAAACACACACATGCACGTTATGTATAAATAGTAAGTACATAGTATGTAAATAGTATGTATATAGTGTGTATATAGTGTGTATATAGTGTGTATATAGTGTGTAAATAGTAAGTATATAGTATGTAAATAGTAAGTATATAGTATGTAAATAGTATGTATATAGTGTGTATATTGTGTGTAAATAGTACGTATATAGTGTGTAAATAGTAAGTATATAGTATGTAAATAGTATGTATATAGTATGTAAATAGTAAGTATATAGTATGTATATAGTGTGTATATAGTGTGTAAAAAGTAAGTATATAGTATGTAAATAGTAAGTATATAGTATGTAAATAGTAAGTATATAGTATGTATATAGTGTGTAAATA